CCTTTGTCTCCAGACGATGCTGATGATGGATGATTGCTTTAGTGACTACAGATTCATCTAATGGCAACATGGGAACCACCGCGGAGATAACTTCATCACCCGACAAGCCCCTCCTCATTGGCTAAAACGAACATCCAGCCCATTTGAACGACACTGAATACCTTGTCTCTGTCATACCTGCAAGTCTACTCCAGGGCCTTGGTAGTGTCTTCCCCCGTGCAGCATCCACCAAAGGCCCACGAGCACCGCCAGACCGGATACGATGACGCTGGTGTAGTTCATCGCCTCGGCCGTGGTCGGCAAGTTGTACGGGAAGCAATAGATGACAATGGAAACGGCAATATAGAGGCAGGCAACGGCGTTGACGGCGGCACCAAAACGGCCCATCCAGAAGGCCCCAGGCTTGATCAGCTTGCGGCCCGACACCAAGTGCGGCAGGATGGCAAGGAGGTATGACAGCGTCGATAGCACAACAAACGAGCCTATGAAGGCGTTGAACGCCGTCAGTGAACCCACGTACACTGCCCCGATGCAAGTCATGAAGATGCCGCATGCTAGCGTTGAGTATAGCGGGCTCTGCCATCGCGAGCTGACTGCGCCAATCTTACTTGCAAACGGAGTTGCGCCGTCGCGGCCGAGTGCGTAGAGTGTGCGGCCCGCGGTTACGTAGCAGCCCACCGTTGCGCAGAGGATGGGCAGAATGATGACTATCAACAGCCCAGCCGCTCCTCCTTTGGAGCCGGTCGCTTGCAGATACATCTCCCCAATGGGACAGATGGTTTCCAGTTCGATGATCGCCTCTAGGTTCCTGGTGGCGTAGAACACCACAATCAAATAGCTGAAACCAGTCACGAACCCTATGGCCACTTGGCATGCGAGGGCTTTGGGCAAATTCACTCGTGGACTAGTTATTTCTGTTAGCCAGTTCTGCTGTGTGGTGTTTGTATGAATACTAGCGTCAGAAAGATAGTGTAGAGCTGGAATGGCAAGACGTACCGTGGAATCTCCTCAGCGATGTGGGTAACACAATCAATGGCGCCCACCGCATACGCACCATTCAGCATACCCGCCAGGAAGACAAAACTGTCGCTCGAATATCCGGTGCTATTGTTCCACTGCTTCCAGACAAACTCGCTCGATGCATACCCACCGCCAGCCAACCCAGGCATGACGGCACAGACGATGATAGTAACAAAGAAGCCGACAATGATGAGAAAGGATCCGAGCCGGCTGATAAGTGGAAGAGAGCGCTGTGCGAAAATGACAGTGAAGCAGCATCCCCACGATAGGATGAGGTAGCAGATAAAGACGTGCCATCGCTGAGGCTCCAGCTCGGGGTGGTACAACTTGTACGACCAGAGCACCATATTACTGACCATGACGCAGTTGGAAGCAACGGCAAACATCCACGCCAGGCCATTCAACCAGCCGGCAAACCATCCACAAATCTTACCGTACTTGGTGCCGGCCGTCACTAACGCCCAATGGTAGACTGCAGACGAAGCTCCATTAGTATGCGTTTGACCCTAGTTACAGGAAATAGCGAAAGTGTGATCGGCATACCTCCCCCTGATGATGGGATTGATGATGCAAGTTCTGCGATTGACGCCGCAATGAAGCCATAGAAGATGGAAACAACTACACTGCGATTCGAGTCATGGCGTTAGCTGAGGAACCCATACGCTGAAGGTCAGAATGAGATCTAGAGGAGTCACGTACTACTCATATATTGCCCCAGCTGCTCCACCGTTGTGAAGCGATGTAACCTGTCCTCACTGTTAATTCCAGCTAGGAAAGTTTCTACAGGTATGTTACGTACAATACCGGCGCCCAACACAGCCCACGAGTTGCCGGTGGTAATACCAGTCGCACAGGCGCTTAGCAAATTAAAGTTCCTCGCTAGAGTCGGTCCATTGCTCACAAGAACGATTTCGCCCTCGGCAAAATCGTCCGTTGAGTGTTGTGAATGAGCGTTGGATTTCTGCTCAGGCCCTTTCTCCAACACCGTAAGCTCCATGGTCATCTGCTTGGGGTTTCTAGAAGTATCAAAAAGGCACAGAGGTAGAGTGCAAAGAAATGCAGTTTTTGTTGTTGAGGTTTCCCACATTGGCTTGTACTTATACACTCCTTCAAGTATTAACAAACCCCAGTTATGCTAGGTACACGACTATGCGATAAAGCATCGAGACTGACCCGAGGTAATGGCTGTGATAACGGCCTTGATACGAGCAGATTTTAGTGATTTGATTACAACGACTACGACTTGACGAACTGTATCGCTGAGTTTGAGGATAAATGCCTCGCTCGCGGTTTCCTTATTCACTTTCATCGTGTTATGCGTTTGCAATTGTGAAAATCGTTATCAGGAGTGTTCCATGGTTAGTCTCAAGCCCTCGTGGGGTAGAGACCTCATTCTAGATTACAATGGCGAGAACCTCTGGGGCACTGTGATAAACATGGTCCCCCACGTAATGGTGTAGAAGCCTACTGGGGTAATTCATTCGCATAGTAGCTTGGAGAGTACCCCGATTCGTACGCTTAAAGGGCCTGTCCAGATTTGCCGGATAAATCCATTGCAGACTTCAGAGCCACTGTCGTTATCTATTGCGGGAATACTCTGTCAACGATTATTGGGTGTCGATCATAACCCGAACTTGCTATGATGGGCTCGCTGGCGCCTTCCAAAACGGATTTACTGGGGTATTCCCCTAGCTCGCGGCGTTAACCTCCTTTGATTGGCTCGCTGGCACCTTCCTTGTAAATCCATCGACTCTTATTGTTGATTGGAATACCGTCTCTACTACGAATCAGTACAAAGGCTATAGAATTTCATCAACTTGGCACCTGTTATGGTGTACCCAGTATCTTGCTACCTCTGCCCAATACTTAACTCAAGCTGGGGAGTTATTCTTCATCAGTCACTTGAAGGTAGTCACCGTCAAGCGATGTCTTCGTTTCTCTCAAGCCAGCGTATCCTTCTTTCAGGATCCTCCAACTCTCGTACCGAAGCTCTAAAGGTTGAATTGGCGAGTGAGTATTCGAGCTAACGGTTCCTAACTGGAGAGTTACGAGTTTTTTGACTGGTCTCTATAGAAACATGCAGCAGCTTTCAAGCTGTGAACCTTGACAATCGTAGCTCCAGCGACAATTCGACAGAAATCACTTCTCGGATCGATGGCGCATTCACCGCAATAAGCGGGTCGGCCGATCTTGTTGTTGTTGATGCTCGGGATCACGAGCACTGCGGCCGCGATCCAATTTGGGAAGTGCCTCTAACTGAGTGGGACAAGCATCATGACGCTGCCCAGATCAATCAGAGAAGAGCCTTATCCCAGATCAAGGCAATCCTCCAAAGTCAGTTCAAGAGATCAAAAGATGGCAACTCAATTGGCCCCTTTTCTATGATCATTCTCGGTTACAAGGCTTCCTTTGAGAGATCCCTCGATGCTGTTCTTTCAAAAATACAGCGGGATATTGCATGGCTCCATGGCGACGCTTCTGTCAACTTCCTCGACGTTGAGAATTTAGGCGGCGATGCTACTGATCTGTCTGTTATTTCTGCGATGAATATATTGGCATCTAGCAGCTCGCGTGGATCTGTTATCTCACTCAATGATATTTGGACCCTTTGCAACTCACAGTCTGACGACACGAAGCCACCATCTCACAACACAAACATCCCACAATCTCAAACACAACCTAGGATAAGCTCGCCTCTTAGAGCAAAGAAACCGAAAGTCAAGATTGCGCTTTCGTTTGACTTCGACGCGTTATCGGCTTTTCTAGGCACGGGAGAACATCCAGACAACAACCTTGCAGACTACAGCACTGGTGTATTCTCCGGGCGCGTTGGTGGCCGCCGGTTACTACGTATACTGAAGAAATATCAGATTGCCGACAAGGTCACATGGTTCATTCCTGGGCACACTATGGAGACCTTTGAATCCACAGTCAAAGAGATCGTCGAATCCGGCGCGGAGATTGGACTCCACGGCTACGCTCACGAAGGCGCCTATCAGATGACGCCGGCACAAGAGCGCGACGTCTTGGCGAAATGCATGCAAGTATCGGAACGTCTGACCGGTAGAAAGGTACAAGGATACCGCGCTCCGATGTACCAGCTGCGCGAAACGACAATCGAGCTTCTCAAAGAGTTTGGGTTCCTGTACGACTCATCCTTGAGCCACCATGACTCGCAACCCTACTTCACACCCAGCGACCCGCCCGTCGAGCGTATCGACTTTTCCAAGCCAGCGAGCAGCTGGTTGAAGCCAACGCCGATAAGCGATATGGACGTAGTACCGCCCGTGTCATTGCACTCACCCGCCACTGGCCTGCCCCTTGTGGAAATTCCCATTGGCTGGAACAATGAAGACATGATGGGACTGCAATATTTTCCGCATGTTGCCAACACTAACGGACAAGTTGATGTCCGCGTTGTTGAGCAGCGCTGGAAGGACATTTTTCTGTGGCTGTGGGAGAACGGCGAGGCCGAGTCCGACGACGGTACCTTCATTTTCCCGCTGCTCATGCACCCAGACTCCAGTGGTCTGGCACACGCCATGACCATGGCGGATCGTTTCATTGGATGGCTGCGGAGTTGGGGGGATTCGGTCGAGTTCCATACGTATGAGAGCATAGCGCATGACTTTCTTCATAAGAAGGGTATTAAGAATGGCAACATTTCTAAGTAGAGGCTAGAAGTAATTTGATGTAGGATTCTGCCATTCAGTCATGTGAGGAGGTCTTGAGTTATTTTCATTTCTGTCTTGCTTTTTTTCATCAATGGTAACAATCCCCTAGACAATCTTCGATGATTCCATGAAGGTGCCCGATTACAAAGATGTCTGATATCAAGAAACATTGAACCCTTATCACATGAAAAGAATGAGAAGAACTTTACAGCTCAGTTTATTAAGAATGTTCATTGCTATATACCCTTTCAACCTCCTAACACTAGTAGTGTCTTAACTCTACCCGAACTTCAGCAACTAGCTCGGCTAGAAAGGTACGCCGTTCATGTTACCCGCGCAAACATTATCTCCCTGTCTTGCCTTGCCGACGATCTCAAAGCTTCCTGGCCATCCAAACCACGAAGCTTCGTAACGGCGGCATTTAGCATCCATCTGAGCCATTGCGTAATAAACATCGTCGCGGTTGCAATTGCCGCATTTTCCGGATTCGTTGACGCAGTAGTAGACCATCATTTGATTCCTCAATGATGCAACGTATCTTCTTTGGCCTGGTACATCTGAGCAGACATCCTGCCCGTTACCGGCCCACCCCTCGGCAAGGGCCTCGTATGCCCTATCGATGCCAAATTCTTCGAGTTGATAACCCCAGCAATCGGTGCGGCGCTTGGACAGCGTGTTGAGCGTAGATGATGAGAGCATGTCGCGTCGATTCGCGGCTCGTACTGCCGAGAGGTCCTCGGCGCTGAGGACAATGGGAGCAACTCCGTTTTCAGAGGGAGTGTAGACTTCAGTGCCATTGGTGAATCTTGTAATCATGTAAACACCGTCTGGGACGGTAGTAGCGGAAACAGCAGTAATACTGGCAGCAAAAGCCACGAGTGCAGAAGTGAGATACATGGTAGAGTGTAATTGAAGGTGGTGGTTGAGAGTAGGCTACAGGTGATTCGTTGGAGCTGTGGTAGTGAGCTTAGGAATGAGGAAAGCACCTGCTCTTATACTTTGACATTCCACAAAAGTGCTCAACTGCATCTATTGAATAATTGCAAAAGAAGAAGATGCCCTACATTGAGGCGTTCCAGATCGCTCAAAGCGGGATGTTGGGTGCATAATTCGCCCCAGCATTATACGAAGCTGCGGGCCTTGACGGGAGTTGGCCAACACTTGGTATAGTATTGCTGCAAGTAGTCGACTACTCCAGCTTGGCATTTTATATGAGTCTCCACATTATAGGATGTGCGTCTTGGTTCTCAATCTAAGCAGGTATTGTCTTTGGTATGGATAATTATAGCCCTCAAAGAATCCTTACCGAGCGCCAGATGACCTCTAGTACGTAAGCCATCAAGCAGGAAACATACATTCTTCCATGTCTTGTTCCATAGTATTATCGTTAGCCATGATTCGCATATGGTGCATGATGAAGTTGAACAAAACCTATGGTGATGATACTAGTACTGACAGATACGCGAGACCCTGCGTCAAGGCCCACCAACAGATGCGGGAGATGCCGCGGTAAGGCCCGCTGCAGTACTAAGGCCCGCAGCATTTAAGGCCCGCTACTATAGTAAGGCCTGCTGCAGTGCTAAGGCCCGCTGTGGCATAAACTATTCACAAAGCAGCGCGAAAAGCAATCGCATCCAGCAGGAGACGTGGTGGGCTGCCGCACAAGCGGGCTTCGCAAAATTCAAGAAATAGTAAGGCGTGGAAACGCATTCGGTAGTTCGTTTTAGCAATGAAGTTGAGCCTCTGCTGTGCGAAACACTCAGACAAGGACAGCTCGAAAAGATATTGTTAGACTTTGGGTGATGCGTGCTGAATCCAGTAGTGCGACAACACCGACACCAGAATACATGCAGCCTCGGTTAGTGTCAATACGATGCTACTAGGGTCATGACACCGAGGAAGTAGACCGAGGCCGTGGCACACGAATCGGAACTGGAGTTGTGGGTTGGGAAGCTATTTCTGTTCTCTGGAGGAATGTCTTAATGCAGCGCATATGCCGCTGGAAAGCTCAATATAGCCTAGTTCATGCAATGGCCCATCCACAGTCAAATTTGCGACTCCAAGACAGGTCACCATCGCGATAGGCGGGGAATCGATTCTAGGCTCGCTGCCGAGGTTTTTTTTATGCGGAGCCATCGAAGGCTTAGAGGGCTAGCTGGGAAAGTTAATCTGTCGAAGACAATGTTGCAAGGTACTTGCCCAACCCCGATGCATGCTACGACACGAATGTTACTCGACACCGACAGTTGCCAGTCTGCGATCAGTCGTGCGTGTCAACAACAACGCTCAGGTGGCCAATTGAAGCAATAATAATCAATTGAAAAGCACGATATCTAAGGGGGCGCGAAGAAGAGATGGAAGGCTGCTACATACTTGGACACATACAGAGGGTTCGCGTTAGGCAAAACATGGTCGCTACTAAAGCAGGGGCTTCTTCCGCTTTCGTCTTGACAGAGAGGGACAAATGTGTTGCCACGTGAGAGCGACATCGTCGCCCACCTCTTTGCCATACAGGATGCACTCCCTCAAGCCTTGTGTACGACAGCTGCGCCAGCTATGTCCCAGTGCACACCCACTCGTCCACGAGCGTCCAATGCGAAAGAAATCTCAAAAATCTACCGACAAATAAAATCACACACCAAATCAGTACGCTGGACCATCCAGATCCATACACATTGATACCCGCTGCACCACCACGAAGAACTCGGTCAGTCATTTCAGAGTATCTAGTCGCCATTAGCTACACCATGAATCACTGTAAACTCCAGCACTATAAAGGCAACATAAGCGATCAGCATTCCCCATCCAATCTCACGACAAAACCTTCCGCCAAACCAGACGGTCAAAGTAAATGCAAGTGTTGAGGCCCACAAAACCCCTAATTCAGCGATGCTCACGTTGCCGTGTTCAAGCTTCCCTGAGGTACCGAGCATAACGATTCCAGAGCACAATGCAAGCAGGAATATATTACTGCCGGCTGTATTCGCGACGAGAATGCCAGCATGGCCTCGGTGCCCGCTCATCACCGCGACGAACTTTTCGGGAATTGTCGTGGCTATTGCGAGAATCACAACACCAAAAAGCACATCTGAGATGCCGAATTCATCGGTAATGGTCGTGGCAGCGTGGGAAAGCACGCAACCTGCGAGGCAGATGGCTAGAAAGCCAAGTAAGAGATAAAATAGGTGATAACGTAGGCTCTGGTGCTTGCGGCGACTTGGTCCTGATGACCTTTGCGTTGTGCTACTGCCAGTGTGTGCAAGTAGGCTCGTTCGTTCGTTGTTCCCAGCAGGAGCTGTCCCATTGGGTTCGTGTCTGTGTGCATCAGCATGATGCAGTCCTCTCCTCGCGACAACACCAACTGTGTTTTCTTCACCACTGCTCTCATCATCGCTGCTATCGTCGGAGTCCTCTGGAGCAGTGAGAGTCCCTTTACTGATTGCCCACCCCACGGACCCAATATAGATGGCAAAGAATGCGATCAAGATGGAGCCGCCAACCAACCATACGATCTTCTTTGAAAAGTACGTAATCGGCGTCACAAAAGTTGTCAAGACGAGTAGGACAAGAGAGTATATGCGTGAGCTTCGATCAAACACAATCGGCTGCTGCTTGTCGTGAAATAAGAGACCCAGGGAGAAAGCTCCCAAGATATTCGAAACCCCAGAACCAACAATATTACCGATCGCCAAAGAGCCACGATTGCGCGCGAGTGATGCAATAACAACAGCGAGCTATAGCATCAGATATGATTAGTACACTAGTAGCGGAGAAGACTACGGACAAGTACGAGCATACCTCCTCCCATTCTCCTCCAGCAGTAAGAAGCCCAACGATCGTTTCCGATATTCCGGTGCGACGAGCGACGACAGCGCTATGATCAATAAACTTATCCGCACCAAATTCTAAGAGGAAGAGTGTCGCGATGAACGCTGCGATGTTGTATGTAACAACGTCAGCGTTCGCCATTGTTGGCTCGTTTAAAGTGGGTAGAATTGTGCTGTGGGGATTGGGTAGTGCAGAGTTACGCGGTAGTGAAACATCGAAATATGCGTTCTCTTCTATAGTTTATGCGAAGATACCTTTTTCCGGTTCACGGTGGCGGGTCGCTCGCTTTATGACATGTTCTCTCTGGCGATCAATGTTCGAAGTGGGTGGCGCGTCGCCAAAACACGGAGCATGCGCGCCAGTGGCTGGTTTACGTCATATTTGACGGAAGCTACTGTCCAGTCAAGCTTCTACCCCCTCTTAGCATGCTTTGACCCAACGCTTGGCCGTTCTTAGCTTACTTTTGTGTTTTTCATTGGTAATATAATTAATTCCAGCCGCGAAGCTATCACCGCCATCGCAGTCGTTCCATCTTGCCTCACAACGACGCCTCTATTTGCCCATGAGGAGAGTGTGCTCGAGGATATCCGCGCGTCCGATCGCTTCATACTCAAAGGAGGCCTTGCTATGGCACAGAGTTCTTATGGTTGCTTAGGGTATTCAGTTTCTAAAGCACCCTTTCTCATTCTCTCTGAACGCAATGGATTCTTATGCTATTCGAGATGGTTCATGGCAGGTTGACCACCAGTCATACGGATCAAAAGCAGAAGGCGACGTGGAAATGTCTGTGCAAGTTGTAGATACTGTTGGACATGTTGCTAATTCCAGAGCAGCTTCTCGGGGTCAATGAAAGACTGATGGCAAAGTCATGAGATATGACGGATTTGGCGAATCAAGTAACCGTCCTGGCCACCCAAAATACTCTCGTTGCGCGGATCACGAAGAAAACTATGGTTTGCTCGATGGGAAGTGGAATTGTCTTTGAATTGAAGAGGCGTGACTGTGGTAAGTGCTGAGCTCTTGCTTCTTATCCCCTGTAAAGGATCCGGCATCCGTGAGATAAGAATGAAAGTATATCTGATTCCGGATGTAATTAATCACTCTATGCTCCACGTACAACAGGCTTGTGTGTTTCATCGACTCCAAGCCACATAAGGTCTGGCCTGCTATAATGCCCTGATGCATCTACAAATGTCTTGGCCTTTGTCACCAAGCTCAGATCGAGGTCTGAAATAACGAGCTTCTCATTAGGGTTATCGGTCTTGCTCAGGATGCGCCCATCAGGGCCGATGATGCAAGAACTTCCTTGGTTAGGATGTCCCATGATTGGTGAACCGGCCGTTCCCATCATCTGGATGGCAGCTTCGGAGATGACAGTGGTACAGTGAAGTACAAAGGCTTGAGACTCGATTGCATAGGACTGCGAGATATTGCGGCAGCCTACGATCACCATCAGCTCTATAGCTCACTTGGAAAATTGAATGCTACTACTCACCTTCTGTAGACATGGAGTAGAGTCCAGGACTACCTTCTACAAACCCATCGACGGCTGGCCATGCTCCTACGTGCATCTGCTCACCTTGTGTGAAGGTGTAATACTTCAACAAAGGTTGAATATGCTCCCAGCATGAGAGCCCGCCTACCCGGCCGACTCCAGGTAAATCAACGACCTTGGCTAGGCACGACTTCCCGCCTGTGGCATCTCCGAATATTGTGCGCTCCATGTGCGTCGGTTTCATCTTACGACGAGTCATCTTGATCTCGCCATACTCGCTAATCAAAGCTTGCGCGATGTACACAGAATCGCCGTCGCGCTCAGAGAAGCCCAGGGACACGTTGATCTTGTTCTCGGCAGCGGCAGCACAAATACGCTTCATTTCTTCACTATCCGTCTTCAAGGAGTTTTGCACGTATTTCGTTCCCAGATCAAAATCGATTGGACGGCTCCAAATCCAAGCAGGATATCCAGGAATCCAGCATTCTGGGAAGGCAACGAGTTTGGCTTCGGCTTCGGCAGCTTCTTTGATAATGTTCATTGTCTTTTGAACTGTCCCTTCCAGATCGAGCCACAGAGGCTCATGCTGCGTGACCTGTCTTCATTCAGTGCGTTTACACTTCAACGACTCGGACATACTAACCGCAACGCGAACAGTTGGATGCACTTTATCGCCCATTGCAGAAGGTCGCTTCTCTTCCATGGACAAGGAAATCTTGTGGCGAAATATCCTTAGGCTGATGTCTATTTACGATGCCACTAGCTGTCTGCCCGTATGTGTTTGCCACGTAAAGCTATCAGGCAGGCCTGTCTAATCAGCTTGCGGGCGAATTCCGTTCCTAGCGGGGTAAGTAGTACGTACGTCGGACAAAAGCTAGCCCCACCTCAGCCCTACTACTCTGCAACTTGTTCAGATTAGAGATTTCCAATATCTGAATGCCAAACTTGGTATTTGTCATGAGGCCGATACGATACGCCCTTCAAGAATCAGGATTGCCATTGTTACAGAGCAGGGTCTTGATCTAGTCACTCTGTTTTCAGCTCGTGGTGTTCTCAGCTCGTGAATGTTTGTATCGCGTGGGGTATAGCAGCGCTTTCTGTGGTACGTAATCCGAGACGAGAGCTGAAACCTATTTATATTACCTACGCAGTACGATGAAAGAAAGGTCATGCCGGAAATGGTTCCGCGGAAGTGAACGAGTCGCAGCTGAAGTCATGATCGTCTTGCCAAGAGCTTCCAACCCGACGCAGATAAAACGCGTGCACGAGCGGTAGCCAGGAAATATCCAAGTCAAACAGTCATGGCAGAAGAACGTGCATTGGACCATGCGATTCCATCGCACCTACAAACCGAACGCACCATCCCCGCAAAGACGCCAGATGGATTCGTGCCGCCCTTTCCGTCGTATACTGCTAGATTCCCGAAGGAGGCGAAAGATCTCGTAATGGCCATCATCGGAGTTCAGCACGAAGACAGCGTCGATCCCCAAGGACCTGCATACCAAAAGCTGGTCTCATTCGTTGAGCATGGGTCCAAGAAATCCAAGCCCAAGTACTGGGAAGCTGCGTCAGTCACCGACAATCGAGGCTTTCGCAATGAAGTGGTAATTCCATACTGGCAGACCAAGGCCGACTTCGAGGAATGGAGCAGGGACAGCGGCTTCGATGCATGGTGGGCCGACTTGCGAGCAGAGTCGGAACGAGGTTGGTTTATGGAAATATTCTTCCCAACCCTTGACCGGTTCGAGACTGTCTTCTCCGACAATGTAGTACCGGACGGCGCAGCTTATATGCGCTCCTCAGTGTCGGGCGAGATGCAACAACACTTCTATTGGGGTTCGATGCGTGACAGGCTCGCAGCGGCGCAGACTGATCACCTGATTGGTGAGCCCGCTTTCCCCAAACCGTCTGCGGAACAGGTCAAGAAAGGCGACACGAGAAAGCAGCGCATCACAGTGTCAGGCAGAAAGAACCTCGCTGTCATCAGAAGTGGCCAAGACTGGTCCAATACGAATCCGAGTGAACACAAACTCTACCTCGAAACCATGCACCCGGTGCTCACCAAAGGCATGGAATTTTTGCGAGACAAGGGCGAAGAGGTCGGCTGCATCAGTAACCGCTTCATGCAATGCATGCACAAGACGTCGCCCAAGCAGAACACTGAACGCACCTTTGGCCTTGGATATTTTGACGATCTCAAGTCGCTTGAAGGCTGGAGCAAATAGCACAAAACACATCTCGACATCTTTGGTCGATTCTTCCAGTACGCTTCAGAGTTGCAGAGCAACATATCACTGCGATTGTTTCACGAAGTAATGGTCCTCAAGCCTGAACAGCAGTTTTTCGAGTATATCGGTTGCCATGACACTACGGGAATGCTGGCTTCTGTGTAGAACAAATCTTATCACCCAGCATTCTGGTTTCGATGCTTTTGAAGCTCTTGCAAAGCTGCTCAATCACTTTCGAATTCATGGCCACATCTCATGGGCAACATTTCTCATGAGATACAGTTTCTCCTTCATATCCTCACGTTGCAGAGAGTTTCCTTTGGCATGACTTGCAAATCCGCACTGTGGCGGGATAGAGAGTTCATTGATTTACTTATTCCCGAGTCTTGTTCGATACTTTTGCGAAAAAGTCTACAGCTTTGTATACTCTACCGATCATTGAGATCTGTGCGAGTGATCGAGTACGCCTTGCAAGCTTCGTCTCGTTGTGATTTCACCGCAATCAGATGCCACCTCAATCCGATGCGACAAGACATTTGGTGTGACAAGGCGAGGTTCCTCGTAGACAGGATCTATTCTAGTCTATTGATGATGGTGTTCTTCCGAAGCATGAGGTCGACCCAATCCGCACTTCTATGTCATGAAAGTGTAGTAGAGTGACGCGACAACAGTCGTCCCAATGACTGCCCAGCCCGTTCTGATAACATGCTGGTTCTTGAACCCAATATCAACATCCCATGTCAAGTGTCTCAGTCCATTGAACCCGTGAAAGAAGAAGGGAAATGCAACGAAAGCCTTTACACCCATCTTGATAGCAGTGGGCCACGCAGCAACTGCTGCAACCATGGATGTAGTGTCCATGTGCCATCCGGTGTAAGGAGCGATAAGGTAAGCGATGCCGAAGATGTAGAGGGAACCAGCTAGAGTAAGGCCTGTAATACGTTGCAGGGTCGAGGTAACCGAATTGATTTGTGGTTTGTAGATAGATAAGTGGGGTGAGACGGGGCGTCGTATACGTTGTTCAGCGATTATTTTGGCGGCTTGTTCTTGCGATATAAGCCTACTTGATGTTTGTTAGCAAAGGATATGATGGGGATGAGGGAGAGCTTCAGTTGAGCTGCTATGACGTACCTCCGCTGGACTAGATGACCTGTAGGCTGCAACCTAAAGCTAGGTCCCGTAGCTCGACGGAGACCAAGCTGAAAGATCCGCTGGAAGTTCATTAGAAATTTCGAATATATGTATCTATCAGTTGATGGTGTCGTTCAGTGATGTAGTGGTGTAGTGGTGATGTCGCAGTGAATAGTTCAATCATCCGAATTTAAGTGGTCTGAGTTGCCGAGAAATTGGCTTGCTCGCCTGTGTTATCATGTTGGGTCCCATTGCGATCATACCACAGTAGAAGGATTGCGGCGTCGTTCCATGGCAAACAAATCGATATATTCGATGTCGTAGCCTTGTTAGGCTGTCATGCAACCGAAGAGAGTGGAGAATAGTGGCCTCTTCAAGCAGTGCAAGATAATCCGAGACCTTATCAAATTGCTACCTACACCATTTTTAATCTGCTATAGCTCTACTAGATACGGATGATCAATTGCAAATGTGTATGTTGTGATAGGCGTATCAGTTGTTGTTGATAGCTAGTTTGGGTACTAAGTAGTTGCTGCTTATTTTGATCTTTCGGTTATATCGGTTGTATGAGAGCAAGGCTGCAGAAGCCATGACTTCGGCTAAGCTAAAGCAACAAGCCACTGCAACGGTAACAATGACGCCCTACCTTGATGAGAAAAGGCAGTAGCTTTGCAGCACAAATAACTGCAGATGAAAGATAACGGAAACAATCAGCACAACAACTTCCCGCACCTCCGTATGCAGCAAGCAGTCACGTGATCATGGCGCGGAAGACGGCTAGGACCCACTCGCTCTCACTATTTCCCGCCAACATGAACAACGGGAGCCACTCTTCACTTGTTGCGCTGTATCTCTATTCTTCTGCGGCTGCGACATGGCTAGGCCACCGGCAGCTCACCGCATTTGCATACAGAGACTGTGAGACGACAGCTCAGCTCCATTGCGCCACGAGGCCCGAAAAGGTACAGTGTACTGCACGGCAGTATTCGGAGCTGAATAGTATATCTACATATGACAGAGGCACTGGTGGGTTTTACTCAAAGCTGCCACTATAGCTTACTGTGTAGGATGTTCATTAACCATAAGTATGACACAGCCCTCTCGAGCTGGGATCGCGGCGCGACTGTTAGCCTCCGAATAGGCCCGAAATGGATTGTACCTAAGCATTTCGAAGCACAGCCACGGCTGTAAAGCGAGTGGGCCTGGCAGAGGGCGCAGCGTCTCGAATGCGTCTGCTGCAGCCAATCAAAACCCCCCTTAGTGACTCAGTTCCAGTAATGAAACTTGACCCTCTCACCTCCACGGTTCACAGAGCAGACATGTCTTTGACTCAATCATCAAAGCGCGGCGTTGATAAGTCTCGCGAAGAACGGTGTGTCCAGGCACACTATACATTGACACCTTTATTTCCTCCAACCTGAGTTCTAAGAGAGAATCGAAAAAGAAAAAAGGAATGACGCACTGCAATGACCTTCACCCACAGCCTTTCTCAATCCGAATCGAGTCATCCAACGGTTTTTCATACCCGCTACCCGGCCCCCCGCCATCTCCCACACCCCGGACAGATCTCACGGATACTCCCTTTCCCTTCCTTTCCCTCCCCCGCGAATTGCGTGATTTGGTCTATAGTCACACCTTCCACGATCGCGGGATCCACTATCGCGACCGCATAAAAGCTGCCACGCGATGGAGCCCGCGGCGAACACTCGCCTCCCACCTCAACCTACTGCTCACAAACCGCCAAATCCACACAGAAGCCCTATCCGCACTTTTTCGCACACGGCCAGTCGAGATTTCTCCACGCACACTGCACCGGACGCGGTCTCAATCAAATCAGCTCTCACTTTCGCACGCACTACGCTCATTCCCGCTCGCGCCCGCGCGCCTGGTGACGCGGGTTCAGATTGTATACCATGAGTATTCTCTTTATGTCCCCTCAAAATTTGTCTATCCTGCCCCAGCGGCCAGCGATGCAGAACTCATGTTCTTCATGTGGGAGCGCATAGTCCGCGATGCGTGGACGCTGAAGGAACATTTCCCCCAGTTGAAGAGATTCGACGCGTGGTCTCGCATGCTGAGGCAGAAAATGGCGTATACATTTTGCGCCGATCAGCGCGATTGTCATACCCTTGATGAGGTGGAGTGGCGCCAGAGAGTGGATCGAGTAGCAACAAGGCTGGCGAGCTGGCTTGAACGAGAGCTAGGCGGTACGGAACTTGTTCCACCGCAGTGGTTAAAAATCATTCTTAGCGAGATACCGCAGCCTATCACCTCACGTATAACGTTTTGGAGAGCACAGCCCGAGGTGCCTGACGACTCAAACGAGTTCTTCTTGCGGTTTCAGCATGAGGTGCTTGAGCAGACGCATCTTTTGCTTGCGAACAAGAGAGAATTTACGCCTGAGGAGAGAGAGACGAGTGGGAGGATATGGTTGGAGGAGTGTAGTATGAAGAGAAAGCGGGGACGGAAGGGGTGGCATGAGGAGGTTAATGCAGTATAACACCGTGCCGAGAATGACTAGATGGCGATCTAGTCCTACCGGTGCTAAATCTTCTATTCTTGCCCACTGTAGCTAGATTACGGCAATAGGCCGTCTCTCCCAAGTAGATATCTTGGGCTCGCATAATAAACACTTGCACACTACTATCGTTAGATTGTACTAAGATTATTTCTTGTTTGCATCCATGGTTCACATTCTAAGAATCTACTAATTCTAACTCTACGAACGTACAACTCTCTTGAAAACCAATGCCTTTGTCGTATCCGGTGAACAGAAACTTCCTATTCCAACCTGCGCATATCTCTCCTTGCGACCATCAGGCATGCTAATATCATAATCCATAATAAACTTGATAAGTAGCATCTTGATTTCACTCGCAGCAAAGAAACGCCCAGGACAAGCATGTCTTCCATAACCCCAAGCGAGACTCTCTTCATGCGAGGAAACGAATTGAGCGCGTGCTTGCTCGGCCGGTCTGCTCGCTTGGATTCGCTGCTTGTAGTACCGGAAGCCGTCGAATTCATCGGTGTCGGTGTTCGGATCCCAGCTAGGAAGAACTTGGAAAGAAGGAACTTTGACAGAGACGCCGGTGGGAATTTGTTGGCCGTTGGAGAGGGTGATGGGCTTTAGGACACTACGGGAGAAAACACCTAGGACGCATATTAGCAGATTGAGATGAAGTGATGCAGATTGGAAAACGTACTGAGATCCGGTGGATAGCAGCGGTTAACTTCTCTCATGTACGAATCTAGCTTGACCATCTGTTGGAGGGCTCTGGGCGTCGGCACCCCGCCATGTTCAGCTAGGACAGTACTGATTTCCTCGCGTAGCGCGGGCACATACTCCGTTGTCGCAGCCAGTGTATAGAGTATATTTGTAGTTACCATGGTGGTTGTGTGAATAGCCGCAAAGGTAAGCAATACCTGCTGTTTCGTGACATAATGAAGCGTTTCCGTGGCGTTCGAGGATTCAAAGCGCGCCAGCATCCACTGCAACATGTCATCTGGCTTCTTCCACGCAGGGTCAGATTTCTCGGCTTCTTGTCTTTGACGAATTATAGGCTCCACGCAATTTTTCATCTTGCGCTCTATGGCTCGTAATCGTTAGCTCTCGGGGAGTCGGGGAGCAAGTATAGGCCGTAGCCAGGGACGCAATCGTCTAACCGCATTGATAACATGCGTAACCTCATGTGCGTAGTTGACTGCACAATCAAGGTAGGTTGGATCCCGGCCAATCTCTGGTCCGACGAAGATGCGGCCAGATACTTGGGTGACGATGTTGGCCAGGATCCCGTACAGCTGGATTGGAGTTGGGTTTTCGCAGCGCGGGAAGTAGTGATTCATGGAAACCTCAACCTCCTCACAGACTTGATCATTCATGCGTGCTTGGTTTGATTTAGCAATTGCTTTAGTTGTATCAGGGTAACCTGGACTTACTCAATGCAGGGGCAAGATCAGCCTGTACGGAATGAGCAAGGAATGTAAGATTATACTCAATTTTCATGTACTTCGCCTCCATGGTCTGTACACTGTCAGCAATCATAGCGGTGGTTGGTAAAAAATTGACTCTAACCTGCTTGGCCATCTTGTAAGGGTTCAGAACATCTTGTCCAAGTTTTCGTAGCTCGGGCAGAATGCTGGGTTGTAAAACCACAACATCGTTTTCGTAGAGCGCCGCAATACGATAGACCTTGTTTTTAAACTGATGTTCATGAGCCATTGAGTGCGTAGAGAGCTGAGTGTACTAGCCTTGTTAAATCCATTGACATAGACATTCTTCGCAGATGTCATATAGAATTGCCGCTGCTTCTCAGTAGTGCTGTCATCGAACATAGGCAACTTTGCCAATTTCACTTTATAGATGAGTTTGGGTATATATGCAATTATTGCAAGCGCCAGATAAGCGAATGCAAATGTTCGCATTGTGTGCGCCGGAAACGCAGAAATTTGAGGCTCCATACTAGAAAACAAGTATGTTTGAAGTTGCGCAGAAAGAAATCAGTGACAATATCAGGATCTTATACCTTGTTTGGGTGAATGCAACGAGCGATATTGAGGCTCGGAAGCCGGATGCTGCGAAAATCCGTTGGAAAGTTCTTATCCGAGGGTTCCCACTTACATAGACGCGTACAGCCAAACATGAATGTGGGCTACTAGTAAGGGAGTAACACAGGTTAGGATACTCAGGAAGGGATGATACACCTAGATCACCCGAAGAAGTGCCAGATTATCATCTTTGGCATATTCCCGCACATACAAAACCTGTGTTGGTAACTATGGCAAGTAAGGCAACGGTTCACAGTGTCCCTTTCTCGTTGCTTGGTCGTTCAGGCAGTACAACATTGCAACTTTGTCATCTTGATTACTTCGCTGTTCGATCGTGCTTCACGCATAGGTGTGTCGGCAATTCGATGCAGCATTCCGATCAAAATTAGACGCAGGTTAGAGTTGGAATTCTCTCGCTCAAGATGCCGGTGCCGTAGCTAATTATCGATGGGCCGAGAGACTTCCGAGCATGTTTTGCTAGTGTACGTAGTTTACTGGCCAAGCCTATGCACACTTGGTCACCCTAGTTCTGACCTATCAAAGGACGCGCTGTACGAGGGCCTATCAGAGAACGCTCTGTACGATGAATGATCAGCCCAAGGTATACGCTATTTACGCGGCAGAAACGTGGTCCACGCTCTCCCAGTCGAGCTGTAGTGGAGTAGAGGATATCTGGCTAAGAGTACGAATGTCTCGAACGGGAAACTTACGCAAAAAAATGAGTTTCTTCTCTTGGGGGTCGAGTAGAAGGCGAAGTGTCTCCATTGGAGACCCAGGCAGAGCTCACTGTCAATTTCTATGGTTCTGGCGACGCGAAATAATGATGTTCGGATGGGGTTTAGATGTCAGTAGGGCTTGTTTTCATGCCGATTGGCATTGATTGTAAAAGGATCACCACATTCCTACCTACATTCCTGTCAAGAAATCCCACACCACATTGGCTAGATTTATTTTCCCTTCCAAGCCCCAATTATGTCCTTCATTGATGTCAACTTGACCTCTGGGAAGATCTCGTTCAGGCTTTCCCCCTTTGCCGGCTTCAGATCGAAGCCTCCATTATCAAACAATATTCCCAATGACGAGAGGGCACCCTGCAACTGTTCTTTAGGGAAGAATGGATACAAGTGTATATGAGAAGGGAGCTCAGTGACCTGACCCTTCTTCAGCATCTCCACCGAATCATGTTTAACGTCAAACTTGACAGCTTTAGTTTCCTCTGCCATTTGGATAACTTGATTCCACGTTGCTCTATCGCCGATGATGTAGTAAAACTTGCTCCACTTCGGTAGAGTCAACAGAGCAGCAGCCATGCGGCCAACGTCAAAGGTGTAGGTAAAAACCACGGGCACGTCACCTGAGCCTGGGATGGCGGCCACGTTGTTGGCCATGTCGAGAACGAAAGCGAGAGGTGGGAAATATGTCTTTATACCCGGGGGAGCATAGTAATCCATGAACATGCCGTTAATCACCGATGTGGAGTCGAGAGAGGTGGCCTCGACAGCATGCAAGAGGGCAAGCTTGGCGGCGTCCAGAGGGGAAATCGCGGCAATTCTTGCGAAGGTTAGTTCAGTACTTAACGCTCACTCTAGCATTCATGTAGTTCAATGACCTACTCAGGCGAACATTTCACTCCCCAACAGCTGGGAATATAGCGCTTTGTTGTTTTCGATTGATCCGCAGCAGAAATCAAGGCTAGTTCAGGCTCGATGCCGCCCATCAAGTTCAATACTGCAATTACGGTTTCGACCTTGTTCTCTTCAAGTGTGCTGACGATGGAGCTGGTGTTGTTGTAATCTATGGCGACTATGCGGGCGCCGATTTCCTTGGCCTTAGCATCATCTTTCTGCCGGTTTTTGTTAGCCTTCGTAATGTAGTACCGCATCAGTGGTATTGCCTTTCGACCAAGAATGATCACTTCCTGGCCCCCGCGTTTGAGTATTTCTTCAACAATTGTGCGACCAAGCTGGCCAGTTCCTCCCGCGACTGCTACGATGCCCATTTTGATATGTATGTACTAGATAAAAGTTCTTAGTAAACAAAGATTGTGTATCAAGGAGTGAGATGATCGTTGAATCAATGAATAGAGATTCTTGAATGTTTGCCAATTAGACATGAAGATATCATTTTATAATACTACTTAGCGCGTGTTGGTATTATTGAGAAACCGACCCTGTGAGCATTATCACAAATCATTCTCGATGTTGCGGACTAAACTGGCCGAGCCGGAAGTCTACGGAAGTCGACTTTGTCCGTGTTCCGGAGCATCATAACCAGTTTCGCGAGTTTTAAACACTAACGTACTACAGGTTATTGGTTGTTTTGAGTGTCACTGTCATAGATTTACCAACCTGCGTTAGAATAGGTAAGCGAGGGCTACTTGTGCTCCCGTATAAGCCGGAACCTGCACCTATCACTGCAGCCAAAACTTGAATAAGATATTTTGTGCCGTCTTGAACATCAGCTGTTGCGACCAATATGGGAGTTATACTAGCGACGGTGATGTGCGCAAATGTATATGTCAAGTTAGGATGACGCTAATTAGGTTAAAATGTACGTTCGACAAGAGTGCCCCCCACACCAGGACTCGGCGGACTACTACAACGGAACTTAAAACAGGGATTCAAGTTTTAAGCAGACCGCAGGTGTATGTGAATGTTGTGTTAACAACTATGCGCCGAAGCGCATATAAAGAGTGAGCATCAGGGTCGGAGCCATGCTGACACGAGCTTGGGATGACTTGTATAAAAGGTCATTGGATGTAACCAAGCGCAATGCGCATTTACTCTTCATCTATCGCACTACTAGAATGTCAGCCTCCAGCTCTGCCAAACTCGTCGTTACCTCTGATTTCTGAATATCACGTGAAGTCGCATTGTTGTTGGCTGATCAACTATGCTGTATGCAAGGTCGCTTGAGATAACATGGCTGAAGCACAATATCACAAACGTGGGGAATATAAATGATGTAGATACGAATGGATATTGGGAAACTCTGCATCAGTTTCGCATCTTACCAACGTAGTCACGTTCTGGCAACAGCAAGTCCACTCCCATCCTCCTAGCCTTGGAATTGCGATTCGCCAGGCCTGCATCCGCCAAGTCCTGCATCATCGCCAGAAAGGAAAGGTTGGGGCTTTGGCGACGCTGTACCCTTGAATGGCTCTCTCTCTCCCGCCATATCTAGGACGGCTGTTATCTCCCATGCCTATATCGACCCACTTTTATTCACTGCGGGGGGTGGGTATAAAAACGCATAATGGCAAAGCCGTTCAGATAATCTGACCTACATTCGCTAGGAAGACTATGGCGGCCCGCTCTATTCTGGTAATCGCATTGCTTGCAGCAAGGTCTGTGATAGCTACCCCTAGTAACATCCAGAGAAACCCGCACAGCGTTGTTTTGAGCGATACTGTTGGCCATACCGTCTTTGCGCTCGGAGATGTTTCGTACTTGGCAGATACAAAGCACCCCAAGGCAAGTGCACGCTGTACTACAGTCACATCTGACCGAGCGACTTCGATCCCTATTGCCTTGGTCAAGACGAATGCGACGCTCATCACAAAGGATACGTTGGAAAGCATCGTCTCCGCGTACCTCGAAGGCGATGATGTGTTCAGCCATGACTTCCTAGGCGGGTTGTACATTTTGTCACGGGTGCAGTCATCCCTTGACGCCTCTGCTGTTGAGTACATTGCTTCCTTCAACAGCAGCTTGCTCGTCCTGGATCCCTTGGTGACTGCAAACACGACGATCAACCAGGTAGAGCTGGAATCTTCCGTCGACCTCCCAGCAGGACCTTACCTCGCCTCTGTCGACGGGAGCTCGATAAGCTTTGCCACCGTTTATCGCTTATACCCCGATACGTACAAGACGTTTCTGTTCGGAGCATATGGCGCTAATGACGGTGAAAATACACACTACCCCATTGGCATGTTCTCGCCGAAATTTCAAGATCCATTGATACCGTCAGTTATCCAGTACTTAGCTGTCTCGTGATTGGGCGCAGAGAACTTTTACTAAGAGCTTCGCACAGTGTTCCCTCCAGGATCTACTCATGGGACGACCCTCGTCCCTTGGCTGGATCCCGCGTGGCTATCAAAGATCTCTACGACATCAAAGGGCTGCAAACAAGCGCGGGCAGCCATGCATGGTCAGTCATTACACCGGTAGCAAATGGCACCGCGCCTTCGGTGCAACAGATTCTCAATCTAGGGGGCGTGGTGGTTGGAAAGCAGAAACTAGCTCAATTTGCGTCCGGGGCGAATCCGTGGGAGTGGCAGGACGAACAGTATCCCTTCAACCCTAGAGGCGATGGGTGGTTGACTTGCTCGGCTTCGTCGTCTGGAGGCGGATGTGCAGTCGCGGCGTATGAATGGTTGGATTATGCTGTGGGCAGTGATACAGGGTCTTCTATGCGAAGACCGGCTGCAGTGGCTGGTGTATATGGGTATGTCTCTTCTACTCCGATATCATGCTTTGGTTTTGCCCGATTATCGAAACTAAAAGGCACACAATAGTCAACGTCCCAGCCAAGGTCTCATGTCCCTCGAACGCGTTATTCCTCTTGGTGCTGCAACGGACACGGCAGGTGTCTTCAGTCGCGATCCTCACAAATGGGTCAAATTTGCCAAAGCATGGTATGCTCCTCATTTGTACCAAGACACATCCACTACCG